GCGGCGAAGCCGCCTGACCACCTGTGAGCGCCATCGAGGACGTGAAGACGTGGCACGGCAGCGGCGAGAGGAGAGGATGACCCGTGCAGTGTCATCACGTGCACGAGACGCGCGGCAAGGAGAACGCAGGCCAAGAGCACGAGCCCCCTCGCCGAGCCCCTCGCCCACCACGGAGAGAGGTACCCCGAACCAAAAGCCCTCCAAGATGGAGCCTTGCACCGCGGAAATGCCGATGGGTGGATGATCAATGTGCGGTAGGTTCGAGCGGATATGGCGCGCGCAAGAGTTGTTGACACCGCGTCGATCGCTCCACCCTGAATCGATCGAGGCCCCGATCGTTCAAGGTTGAAAACCATCGGGTCCAGTGACGTTACCGCGTCCGTCGGTGCATCTGCGTCAGACTTCAACCTTGAACGTTTACGCCGGCGTCGCCGGCGCGCCAACGCCGCATAGACCTACCGTATCTGTCTCCAAATTTAGGCCGGCGCTCTAGCACAACGGCAGGTGCGCAAAGATCTCGCTATATTCCCGAACGCTTCGCGCGTGAAATGATTGTCCACGTAGTGATCCTCCTCTTCACCATTGCGTTCCACATTTCCGATTCCACCTCGCCAGTCTAACCACCAAGAGATGAGGACCTGTGCCCCAACGGATGTGTGGCGCAGGTCCTCATCCTTGAGTGGTCATCCCTGGACGAGGCCAGACCAGTGCTTCTCCAGGGGCTCGCACGATGGCGCGAGGATGAGCGCGCCATCGTGCTGGCCCATGGAGAACATCTGGTCCCGGCCCCAGGCAGCGGAGCGTGTCGCCTGTGTTTGCGTCCGTGCTGGCGAGCCAAAGACAGCCATCGTGCTTCGAAGGGAGGCGAAACAAGCAGCGACGCCCCCATCTTTGGCCTCCAAAAAAAGCTTGGGTGCACCAGGACCAATGAAGGAACGACCATGGAAGGACCTACGGAACAGCGAACCCCTTCCGAACCCCAACTGTTCTGTATTTCAGCGTCCTGACGGTAAGGACGAGAAGCGGGGATGCATCAAGTGTGTCGCTTGTGTTGAAGTTATACGTCTGACGCCGGACCGAACGTCCAAGTGGCGTTTCTGCAGCGACAGCGGCTCGAGCGCCTTCAACTCAACTGTCTTCGCGCTCCGAAGAACGACGGACTTGTGCCCGAATCTGGGGGGGGGAGCCGTGATTGCTTTCACGCTCTGAAGTCTTGTGCTTCCCATCTCCTGCCCTCTGTTCTGGGCCAGTTCGCCATGCCGTAGAATCATCGCCGTGCATTCCCTCGACGTCACTGCACCAGCGGACAAGACACCACAGTGGTCACCACAGGTCGGAGGCAGAAGGATTGCTCCCTAGCGGAGAGAGGCGATTCTCGAGAGGTACGCAGGACATGGCAGATGGGAGCGCAGAGAGGGACGGGGGAGAGAAGGGAAGGGAAAAGGAGTGAGCAGGGGGATGGTGAAGGAGGAAAGGATATGACAGAAGGGAGGGGGGGGCGGAGGGAGGATTGGTGAAGGGACGCAAGGAAGCAGGAGAAAGGGGGAATGGGAAGGAGAACGCTGGGGAGGGCGCCCGCAACTTTCAGACCATTCAACGCTCGCCTCGCCTCTTCCGGCACCCTGGTCTTCATCCCACCTCTTCAATGTAAGCTGGATGGGGCAGGAGAAAGAAGAATCAGAAACGTTGAGGCAAAGAGTGAGCACAAAAGCTGACGCGGGTCAGACCTACAGTCGTTTTCCTGTTCATCACCACATTTCGAAGCCGGCTGCGGGACCCGAGCGGGGCACTGCGCCCGCGCGCGCAATGAACATCCGAATGTGGGAGATCTCCCAATGCGGTCAGCGCCCCCCCCCACCGCGCCCACCTAGAATCCTAGCGGGGAACTGGGGCGCGTATATACGTATATACATACATATTTATACATACATAGACACATACATACATACATACATACATACATACATACATGCATGCATACATGCATGCATGCATGCATGCATGCATGCATGCATGCATGCATGCATACATACACACATACATGCACGCATACATACATACATTAATACATGCATACATACATCCATACATACGTAAATACATACATACATGCATACATACATACAAAGCAACATAGCTGCATACTTAAATGCATACATACACATACCTACATGCCTACATATCTACCTACCTACATACATATATGCATGCATACAACGATACGTACACGCATACATACATACATACATACATACATACATACATACTTACTTACTTGCATGCATGCATACATACATACATGCATACATACATATACACATACACAAACATGCATACAAACATACTTACATACATACACACATACATACATACATACATGTATGCATGTATACATACATAAATACATACATATATGCATACATACATGAACACATACATACATACATACATACATACATACAGACATACATACATACATACATACACACATCTACATACGTATACATACATACATACATACATACATACATACATACATACATACATACATACATACATACATACATACATATACACATGCATACACACATGCACACACATACATACATATGCATACAAACACATATACACACGTGTACATACATCCACCTACATACACATACATGCACATGTACATATTCACATACCCACCTACACAACAATAACCATGCAGATACATACACACCTACACACGTCCATCCATCAATCCATACATCCATCAATACATGCATACATACATACATACACATACACATACACATCCATTATACATACATACGTACATACATACATGCACGCATTCACACATTCATTCATGGATGCATACATGCATGCATACATACATACACACAAGAGCCACGCGCGCGCTACGCGCGCGCATCGGTTCTAGTCACAGCTCGGCCGTGGCTCTCGTTTGCGCTCTCGTCATGGGCGACACTGCGAACTTTCACTCATGTGGGTTTTGCGGGGCCTCCGTCCGCCTCGGCCCTCTCCTGTCCTCGTCCGTCTCGGCCCTCGCCGTTGCCGTGGTCCTCCTCCTGCTCCTCCTCCACCTCCTCTTCCTTCTCTGCTCCCTCCGTGGTTCTTCCTTTCCCTTCTCCCTGCTCTATCTCTGCTCCTCCGCCTCCGCCTGTTCCTCTTCCCCCCATCTCCTCCTCCCCCACCCTCGGCCAGAAACCGTGGTACGCCTCTAGGGTTATATTGCTCCCATCGTACTTAAGGACCACATCCCAGAACTAATTTCGAGCACCCGGAAAAGTGTCGAAAGAGTGTCGAAAGAGTGTCTCCGAGGGCCCGACACGTGAAAACCCTTGAGGTTTGGGGTACTTTTCTGGCGCTCGAAATTCTTTCTGGTGATCAAGGCTAAAGTAAATTAGAACATCAGATCTCTAGGGGGGGGGGAACGAGGTTCGAACGTCCACATTCGAGGCCTTTCGGATTCTAACCCTCCAGGAAGGCTCCGGGAGGCCAGGCACGTCAGACATCTGTGGGCCCCTTCGCTGCAGATGCCCTTTCCCTCCTGGCGAAAGTTGCGGAACCTCTTCGGCCCGTTCCGGCGACGACGAGGACGACAAGGACGACGACGAGGAACAGGACAACGACGACGACGACGGCGACGACGACGGCGAAGCAACGACGGCGACGACTGGGCCCTCTTTTACGGTCCAGAGGCTCGGATCGGTCTTGAGGCTTCGTTGATTCTTCGTGGGTTGTTGTATACCTCCTGAGTTGAAAAGGCGGGAACCCCCAAAAATGTTCAAAATCAATGGAAGCCCCTGAAAAATTGCGTCTTGGAGCCCTTTTTCTGGGTGTATGGGAACCCTCCTGAAGCGTCTGGGGGTCGGTCTGTGCCGTCTGGAAGCTTCCGTGTATCGCCTCGGGAACGTAGTCGGCCAACAGGAGTGATTTTCCGGCGACTCGGGCTCGACTCGGTGTCTTGACCCCATGGGAAACCACAGATTTATGTTCGCCTCTCGGGGCGCTCTTGGGGGCCGTATGGGACCCTTCTTGGAGCGCCAATGGAACGCTTTGAGCCGTCTGGAACCCGTCGTGGAGCGCCTCGGGAGAGGGGTGGGGAGACACACACAAGCGTCCAAAAGAAAATTTCCGGGCAAAATATACAACGATGCCATGCGAACATCGGGCAGCATGAGAAAGGATCCTGAGAGTCTGGCCAAAGCCAATCTGGAATCTGAAATCGGGAATCCAGAACGCTGCTGAAGCCAGGCGCTGGAATGGAGCTGAGCCTGCCAGCCAACCGCATCCGGAATCCAGACTCCGAATCCGGAATGCTACTGAGCTGGCGCTGGGGATGGGAGAAATGAGGAACAAAACTCCAATCTGGAATCCAGAATCTGTAATCCGGAATGCTGCTGAGGCTATCATCATCACCACCATCATCATCATCATCATCGCCATCATCATCACCACCACCAACTCCATCATCATCACCATCATCATAACATAACACAACATACCATACCATAACCCCACCATCATCAGAGTCAGGCGGTGTGGGGGTTTTCCTGTTCCCTCTCGGCACGGTGGGAGTAATTATTCACTGCGTGGTGCTCCCCACATGTGCATATCATACTCCTGTCGCTTCTCGCTGAAGAACTCTGCCTGTGAGCATTTTGGTGTGAGAGCGAGTCGTTGTGAACGACGGACGACAAAGGCGACAGCGACGACTTCAGTGACTTCAGTGTGGACCTTCCAGGAGAGATGAGGGAAGCACAAGTGGAAGGGCGAGGGGGCATTGCACCACCAAAGGGGGGAAGACTGAATGAAAGTGAGCATGATTGACCTGAGTGTGAGTGAACCTAAATGTGAATGAACCCGGGTATGGCCGAGCGTGGGCGTCAGCAGGTCTAGGTATGAGAGAATCTGAGAACGAGTGGGTCCGAGAATGCGTAAGTCTGAATACTAGCCTGTCTGACTGAGAGTGGGCCTGAGTGTGGGTA